TTTCCTGTTAAAGCGAGAAAAAGCAGACAAGTAACAACGGCAAAAAATCCCTGTGAGCTACAGTGTATAATGTTACAAGTAGTCCCACCCCGAGAAGGAGGAGTAATAAAGAGAAAAAGGAAAAGACGGAGAATTTTTTGCCATGAAGGTTAAGACAGTCATACTTTAAATCACACCACAGTTCATCAAGTAGAGCGGTATAGAGGTGTCGCTTTGTTTACTAGATTTAAAAAAAATTAGAAATAACGAAGCATGAAATCTTCCCACAGTGAGAAAATAACTATAAAGAAAAGGATCCTAACACGCTTTAGCTGCAGAGGCTGGCGAGATAGTTGTCGAGAAATCCATCTGGCGGGCATCCCACATTACATGGTCAGCTCCATAATGGCGTTCACCATATCCCCGTTGTTGTTCTTCAGAGCCTTGATAGCCTTGCTTCGGGAAACCTTGGCCTGCGACATGACCATGTTGATCTCCTTCTCCGGGAGATCACCGGCGTCGCACTCCTCGTCGTTCTCCTCCTTGGCGTCCTCTGCAACCTCCTCGACCTTCGCGGTGGCTTCGCCTTCCGCGTCGGCGCCGTAGACCGCTGCGCGGGCAGCCGCCTCCTGAGCCAGGGCGCCCATATCCTCCAGCTGCGCCTCACCAAAGATCACAAAGGTGTTTGTACCGGGGAAGCGGTAAACCTCAGGCTTCGACATCGCGAACGATAGGGTGCCGTTCTTGCGGATGTTGACCTTCACGATGTTGGGCTCTGGCTTCAGGCCGAGCTTGGCCATCGACTTGGCGTAGCGCTTCGACTGCTTCAGGACCTGCGACATCTCAGCAGTCTCCAAAGTCGGCACCTCATCGGCAGCGGCGAAGTTCTGCGTTTGCACCTCAGCGGTCATTTTCTTGACGTGATGGCTCTTGGTTTTTGGGGAGTTTTCTACGAAACGGTGGAGTAGCGTGAGATTCCTTTCATTAATGATTATAAATGGAGGAGAATAAGATAGGTAAATGGCATAAAAGGTTCGATTTTTAATTCCCAAGTTGGCATCCAAAGTCAAAGGGGCTACTTACGCAGGCCACACAGGGATTTTATCACATTCAAAAAAAAAGCAAGCATGAGAGAGGGAAAAGCCTCATCTCCGTGTCACTCCCTCAGAAGATACGCATATTCGCCCTCTTTTAATCTTATAATTTTAACATACGTGCACTACTGTTATCTCTACATTATCCCTGATGCATTTATAAAAGTACTTTCTTCATAGTTTCTATAAACCTTTACGTCCCATAAAGACCATTGACGATCTCTTAAACACGACAGGACAATGTAAAAGGTAAAATAACGTTAATAAACCTTGAAGCTCATAACAAAAATAAGTACCATAACCAAATAAAAAAATAGGGTGTACAGCAAATATGCACATTGGGGAGGGAGGAGGAATCAAGTGTCATAAATCAATACAAGGAGGATAATATTCTTGTTTAATTTGCTATTTCCATACTCAGTCGATTTCTTCGAGAGTTTGAGCCGCCTTACCTTTTGATTTGGAGGAAGGAATCCCTAAAGCCACGTGATCCGCAATATCGCGGCGATCTACGCTCTGATAGCTATAAGCCTGATTGGATGGTTTAGCATCCCAAGCTTGAGCATGTGGTTTCATATTTGCCCTTGTGGGCGAAGCTGGAGTCGGTTCAGGAGTATTCAATTCCACATCTTTGAGCTCGTCCAGAATGATCCCCAAGCCGCAGCACATGCAGCATGAGCTTAGCATTACAACTGACATCCCCGCGAGGAGCGGTATGCATGCGACGAAAAAGGAAGGGTGTATTGAATTTCCCGTGTCTCTGTGGTTGTATTCCCACTCCATCTTTGCGGCCCACATGCACACCATGTAGAGCCAGGAAGCTGGCCAAATTGTTGCGACAACGGCGCGTAAGAGACGCATCCAGCACGAGGGTTGTCGTTTTACATTAGCCGATGCCATACTACGCGCGAAAGGCGACTTCGCGCCCCCCCTCGAGGGCATGGCAGCACCTGTGGCATTTCCACTGTTGTAATCCCGGAACGTGGTGTATGACGAAGGGGTTTCGCCGTAGTAATCTTGACTGCCTCCGCTCGTAGAAGGCAGGGGGTATAGGTATGCGTAAAATGCTTGCAGGATCACCATGGCGCCGAAATACGTGATCAGTGGTGCGAAGACAACCCAAAAGGAGAGAAAGTCCTCTCCTTCAGCACGATTCGGATCGTTGGAATCGGCGCCGACTGGGCCCTGTGCGGCACGTATGTACGCAAGACAAATAAACGCCACCACACACAGCAGCTCCAACATCTCTCGCGCCACATCAACGCCGTATTCACACCACGACCACTCCACGGAGGGTTCGACACGCGAAGGGGAAGCGCAGCTCGTCATGGAGTTACCATCCGGAGGGGCATCAGCCGCCCCTGTTGAGGAAACGCCCGCGGCCCTCATGGAGGCGTCCATTTCTTTCTTCTTCTCCATGTACACGGATGGTAGCAAGACATAGAAGCCTCGTAACGACATCAGGCCGTACCAAAGCGTCCACGGAATGAACGCACACGAGGGCGGCGACAGGGTTCCGGCAAGCACCAATGTGGAGATGACCGCGCCCACTACAATCATTATCAACTCCAATCCAACAATCGCCGCGACGAAAGTCCGAAACTTCACCGCGGCCACGAGCGCGGTGAGGCCCACGCCCATTAGGAATGGGGATAGGAACCACAGCGGCAGTGTAATGAGGCCCCAGGACCAGTTCTTCTTGGAATCCAGCTGAATTCCTAGAAGCAGGGTACTGCACAGCAACAGGCATGCTACAAGACCCACAAAGGAGAGTGCGGTTCGAATCGCGAAGGCCGTGCACAATGAAGTGAGAAGACCACTATCGCCGATGAATTTCATTCGTTCTCGGCCAAGGGTGTCGTAAAGCCGCCGCTGTGTGGGATCCGTGAGGATGCGGTGCGCTTCTTCGATCTCCTTAAATTCTTCAGTCGTTACGCCGCCGGTGCGGTCGGGATGGTAACGAAGCGCTAGAAGGCGATACCGCCGCGAGATCTCCTCCGTACTGCTATTCGGCGGAACCTCGAGGAGATCGTAAAGATGACCACTACAGCTTCGAACAAGCATGTTTACTTTGTGCACCTTATAATTTATTAGATATAAAAAAAATGTATAAACCTATGTGTACGTATCCGTCCTACAGATTCGTGAAATATGGAGAAATAAATTCCTAGTTGTATGCTTAGTTTCATCCTCCATTAATGTGTAAGACGTTCAGGAAAGGATGAAAGTTATAGCATTTTGCAATCCACACTCTTGGATACCTAGATTGAAACAAAGTTCCTTTTATCAGTTTGCGCCGTTTAATCAACTACTGTACACACATATACGTACATGATCTTTGTGGGCTGTGTACACCACCGCTATTATGATGCTCGAAACCGTACCAAGGACACGACTGAAAAAATGATTGAAACTCAGAAGAACGACAATGCCATTGTATCATTGCCGATCAAAATTATAAAGAATATCTAGCAAAGAATCGAAAAGGTAAGCAACTGTATAACGGTAAATCTACAGGGCCGGATATTTGAAAGGATCGCAGCAAAAGGAAGCACGTTGGCCTGTGACTTTTTTTATCTCTGCGATTCGACCTCTCTTCACCCAAAGAGTTTTACCAAATGCGCATCACCTTCATTATTCTTTGCATTTTTTGATTCATTCAACATGACAAAATACGGAAGGTAGGGTATGAAGAAGTCTTGCTTATTTATTGTTGCACTTCGCAGCAGAGGGAAAAAGACTACTAAGCATCCTGAAAAGAGTCCACACTAAACACCACTCCCTCTCTGACTTCTTTCCTCCATGAACACGCGCCTTCATAGGTGCTCCCATCTTTACCACCTCTTGTTGAATCCCAAGACGCGTCCCCACACCAACAAAGGAGGACAGTGGCCATGTGTTCTAATAATAATAACAAATATATATGTATATAGACGAGTTTTTTTTTTAAAAAAACACTATAAAACTCACACACCCCAGGGTCTTCCTTTGCCTGGTGATTAAGAGCGATGCGATGGACGCACCGTACGTAGCACGCGGTGAATGAGCGGAAGCGGCCACCAATCCAGCAGAGTGGCCTCCTCCTCCGCAACGGAAACCGACGAATGTGCCGCCGCTACCATCGACGTGGCGATCTTTCGTTTCATTGGCTCGTTGAAAGAGGCATCTCGCCTCTTTGTTCTTCCTCCTGCGCTCGCCGGGGGTTGGTTGGTTGATGTGGATCCGTTCAATTGGCTGCGCTCGTGTGAAGGGATTCCCGCGTGTTTTTGCACCCCCTGCGGTGACGGTGAGGAGGAGGCGACGGTGGACGTCGCAGGGGATGATAAAGTCGTCTTCGACGGGGGCGTGCGGCCCCGCGCGAGGGCAGCATCCTTCCTGGAAGGGGTCTTCATGGGGGTTTCGCCTTTCCTCGGCGTCGTCCACGTTAATCGACGGGAGGGAAACGCCCCTTCATCATGTCGCCGCTGTCGGTGGCCGCCGCCGCTGTCGTCCGTGCGGACGCTGCTTCGATAGCACCGCTCCCGCGGTGTCGTCAGTGCCGATCGCACCGTACTCGGCGATACCCTAAGATACGAAAGGGATGCAGACGAGACCATAATCGCGGAGGTACCACGCGTGGAGGGCAGGGAACCCTTGTCGGCATCATTATTAAGATCATTACTGCTTGGTGCTCGCCGCCGCCACGACGACCGCGCCGGCACCACGGGATCGCTCGGGGATAGTTCTAACACCAAACCGGTGAGGTTTTCAGGCGACGTCAGCTCTCTCAGAGCGATGAAGGGCGCCGACGGCAACGGCGAGAGCGAAAGCACCTCTCCTCTCCCTTCCCCTTCTTCCTCTTCTAACGTTTTCCGTTCCCCACCTTTGATGACGGGATTTTTAAGATAAACCTCACCCTTATCCATCGCCACAGGGGATTCCAAGCGGATTGAATCTGCCGCAACAACTGCCTCCTCGCCCCCAAGTGGTCTTTGCGTATTTGACAGCGCGAATCGCTCAAGATCGCAGAGCCGGCGGGTTTCATCGTCGTCGTGATCTACTCCTTGTTCCCCTTGTGGGTGGGATCGCCCTTGGGGGAGGTTTTTATCACCGCTCGCGCAACTCCGCTCGTCGTCCGCCGTGCGGGGGTGCCTCTGTGCTGCTTCCTTCCTGTCAGAATGATTGCCGCCAGACCACCACAATTTGTCGTCTAAATACCCCTTATCTGCACTGAATTCGCTTTCACGATTTATGGACATCTCTACCGTTGCCTGACGAATAGGGTGGGGGGCGGGCGATGCCACATAGCTGTCATCATCCGCTCTGGAGTCCATTGCTGCCGTGAGATCCGACCTGGGTGTGAGCGTTTCATTCAGGCCGCTACGGCGAGACGTCTTTGGACGACCTCCCGCGCCGTGAAGACTTGTAATGATGACGAGTCCATCCTCTCCGAATTCGTCAACCATGGGTGCGAGGAACTGCCTCGTTTCCTCCATTGTAAGATCATTCCACCGAAGATCTACGAGGCTGAGGTAGGGCAACAACCGTCGCTGCGGCTGACTAAGCGTTACATTTTCTGCTGCTTCTCTTTCCTTTTCCATCTTTTGGTGATGGGTGGTGCGTGGCGAACGCAGCAGAGCTTCGAAACCTAACAGCGACTGAAGGATCATCACAGCGCCGGCGATGCGAAGTCGGTTGCCGCCAAGGAGGACATTTTGTAGCGAGCGGAAGAACGCCACCACGTCGGTCGCGCCGCCACCAACGGGCGGCTCCTTATCTTTACCGTACCTACACGCAAGACGCACCTGACGCATCACAGACTCCACGAGCCACCAGCCGTCCTCGTCGTCTAGCCCAATCGCACGCAGATCGAACAAGAAAAAAGAAATCTGCGGAAGCAGGCGCGTGCCACCCACGTCGTCCTCTTCCTTACTGTCAATCGACTTCAGGATATTGGTCAGGTGATAGGCAAACATCTTGGCGAAGTGCACCGCGCCGCCCCGCGCGCGACGCTCCAAAAACACGCCCGCAGAGACGTCCACGGCGACACCAAGCCGCCACCGAACCCGATGCTCCTGCAGCGCGGCCCGAACCTCCGCAGCGGCGGCGGTCGCACCCCCCTCTTCACCCTCCCCGCCAAGCTCCACGCAGCGGACCCGATTCCCGTCCGTGCGAGAGACTTCCTCGATGAACCGCGTGGCCGCGTTTGTCGCCATCACGCGGAGCTCCACGTAGCTCGTGCGGTCGTCCTCTACGTCGGGTTCTTCTGTGAGGGGTTCGCCAAGGAGACGTGGGACGTCTCCCTCTCGTGGGTGCCTCGCCTGCGTGGAGGCCCGTCGGGCGCGACCGGCCACCACCTCTGGAGCCCGCATGAGACTCTGCACGACCACCGCCAGACCCCCTTCCCTGCCCTGTGACATCTTTTGGTGTGGTGTGGTTTGACTTCCTACGAATGCCTTTGTGACAACGGGATGGATGGGCTTGTGAGACAAAGGTACTAGTCAAGCTAGATAAAAACAAACTAGGCATACATGCACATACATATATATGTGTCACGAGTGGGTTTAGGATCTTTTGAAGGGTTTGCAAATGGTAAAGTGAAATGCCTTAGCTATTCTTGCAAGAACACATTCACCTTCTCAGAGTTACAATACATCGTTACGACGTTCTCGTTGACGTTGTTACACAAGAGTAGTATTACATTCATCCCCACAATATAGGTATCTTCCTCCACTAAACTTCATCATCCTGTGAAGTACAACGTCTGTTGCTACCGTCCGGTTAACGCTATCACTAGCCAATCCCTTACAGGGAAGACAATAACGGCGAAATCCCTGCCCAAAGTTCATGACGTTAGGAACACGGTACAAAAAGCATCAACGTACAAGCCGTCTCTCCTGACTACCAAAAACCCAGATTCTCTCTATTCTCCAGATCGACCTTAAGGGGGACTCGAGGAGAAAGTGGCTAAATCACACCATATATCAATATATATATTATATATAGAGGGGAGACACTACAGATGATATTTGGGATCGCTAAAATATGTGTGCTTACCAAAGCGAGAGGCCCTCATAGGATCCACCGGGGTCTTCCCATGCACCATCATCACCTTCGTCGAGTCGGGAATGCCCGTGTATAACGTGATCGGTTCATCGCTTAAATAATCCTGCCTAAGCGTTTCTATGACGGGCAGCGGCATCTTCCCTCGGCCGCTTTCCGTATCCCGCATCGCGGCTTCGTAGGCAGCATTGGCTTCTTCCATCTTTCGCTTTGTCTCCTCCATCGCCGTCGAGAGCGCCTGCTTAAGCAGTAGTTGCTTCCGCACGCCAAACTCCGGGCGGCGTAGGGATCGGATGTCGCCATTTTGGGCTGTGTAATCGCTGCGAGAGGTCGTTTCAAAGACGCGCAGCTCCGGATGCCGCGCATCACACGTAATGAGGGGGCTCGAGATGAACCCCCCCTTTACACGAGGTTTCTCTTCCTTTCCCCCCTCTCCCTTCGCCTTTTCCTCCCCTAGGGCTTCTTCCTCTTGCCAATTTCCGTAAAGGACGCGGCGGTGCGCGCTCCCTTCATTGTTTTCACGTGCATAGTTGCTGCGGTTGAAGCGTTTCTCCTCAATCCAGGTGCCGTTGGGGCTGTAGGTGTCGATGACGGTGTACGGCCGACGCGCTTTATCATACGCGGAATACTCCCCTAACTGGTCCATCACCCCTCTTGATTTTTCGCACACGCTTCTCTTTTGTGCGTGCAGTGGATGCCACTGCTATCTTTTCACCTTTTGACCCTGCAACTGGCGGGCACTTGAAAAAAGGGAAGAAAACTAATGAGATTGTCCCTGTATTTTACCTCTTCCCTCTCTCGGTTGTGGTCTACCAAAGGGAATGCTTGCTTTTATGTATTATAAACTGCAACCTCAACATGCGAATCCAAAAGAGGGAAAGTATTATTATTTATATTACAAAAGTCGAAGAAGAAAAAACATAGAATGATTATTAAAAGAAATAGAAGAGAACAGAAACGTACAGACACGTATGCAAGTACTCCTCATTGCATTGTCATTTTACCCCCTAATTTAGCTATAAGCTTCCACGTTTGTGTGGGTGTGACTTCAATCCCTTCTTTATCCTCCCGACGGCGGACGTTAGCCGGACATTCCATCATGCGCTACTCTCCAGAGGAGGCGGGGGAGGTTAAAAGCGTCTGCAGGGATGCCTGCTGCCGAGCAAAGTCGTTCCCGCGCAGCAGCTCCTCAAAGGGCCCCTCCCCAACCACGCGGCCGCCTTCCATCACGATCATATGCGTGGCGAAGCGAGCCATTCCAAGCCGGTGGGCGATGATCACGACCATCAGCGGGAGATCCCGCGCGAGCCCCTCCACCGCCTCCCGCAGCCTCCGCTCGTTGCACGCGTCGAGGCGGCTGCTGGGCTCGTCAAGCAGCAGCCCGCCGCCCGCCCCCTCCTCTCCTGCGTTCAGTCGGGCAGGGGACAGCGGCATCGTGGCGGCGATCCGCTCCCCTCGCAGGCGCGCGAGCGTCGCCGCCACGACGCGGGCGAGGGCGAGGCGCTGCTGCTCCCCCCCGCTAAGCCCCTCGGCCGCGCTCTCGAGGCCGCGGGGCGTGGCGTGGATGAACTCCATGCAGCCCCCCCGCCGCGCCGCCTCGAGGACGTCCGCCTCGACGACCTCCTCGCTCATCCAGCGGAGATTCGCGCGGAAGCTGCGGGTGGGGTCGATCAAAGGGAACTGCTCGAGCTGGGCGAGCCACCGCCGCCAGTAGGTCGTGGAGAGGCACGCGAGCGGGAGGCCGTCCACGCGGAGGCCGCCCGGCTGATGCAGCGAAACGCGGATCGACGAGCCCGCCATCCCCTCGTCCGCGCCGCCTTCCACCAACGACGACGCGGAAGAGGAGGAGGAGGAGGAAGAAGAGGAAAATAACGATGAGGATGACGAAGGAGGCAGAGGGAGGGGGCTTTCGATTCCCTGCAGGCGAACCACCTCGGCGAGGACGGCCTCCGTCCAGACCGCCGCGCTGCGATCCCCCGCTCCTCCCCCCTCCACGCGCACCCCTACCAGCGGGTCGTAGGCGCGCTTTAACAGCCCCGCGAGGGTGCTCTTGCCGGATCCGCTCGGCCCGATGATTGTCGTCGCCCCTTTCGCGGGCAGGTGAAGCGAGACGTCGACCAACGTAGGCCGCAGGACGCCGCTTTCTTCTTCGTTTTCTTCTTCTCCCCGCTCTCTCTCTCCCCCTTCTTCCTCTTTTTCTTCCCACGCTTCTTCATTCTCCCCTCCTCGCCCTCGCGAGAGGTGATGGCGGAGCTGTGGGTAGGCAAACCACACATGCCGCATCGTTATCCCCCGTTGCAGCTTCAGGCCGCCGACGATGCGCCCGTCGGGATCGAAGCGAAGCTCCCGCGCGTGGAGGAATCGCCGCCAGCGCCGCCGCCGCTCCCGCACCAACGGCGACGACGCGTAGGCGGCGTGATCGCTAATCGTGCTGGGGAAATACTCCACGCACTGCAGGGCGCGCAACGCGGGGGCGTAAAACCCCTGAGAAATGGAGGCGAAGACTCGGCGGTACGCCTCGAAGTGCTCTTGAAGCCGAAGGAGCTCGTGCGGATCGCGTGGGTGCAGCTCCAGCCTCAGAAAGGACTGGATGAACCCCGTGGCGGATGGCTTCACGTCGCTCCTGCCGTCGTGGCGGCCTCCCCAGCGGGTGCAGGAGATCGCGAGCAGCAGCATCGCTTCCCCTACGCGCGCGCACTGCGAGAGAATTTCCTGAAAAGGCGCCCGCCCCGTCTCCCGGAGCAGCGCGGCGACGCCCGAGCGGACCTCCTCCCGTGAGCGCCTTCGCAAATTCCCTGCCACGAAGCTCGCGGCGACCACCTCGAGCCCGAGTTGCCGTAACACAAAGCGATGAGGGAGGTCAAAGAGGAACTCGTAGTCGATGATGTCCTCGGGGAGGTACGCCATCGATTGCGGCCGTCGAAGCATCGCGATCTCGTCCGGATCGAGCGCCTCGTGCGTGGCCGCGGTGGTCGACATCGAGGTTGCGGGCACCCCACCCACCTCCAGCCGCCACGCGCACGCGACGTTCGCTTGGA